CCCTCTGGGTGAAATTGAACTTCCAACCTCTCAGCAGCTAAGTACATTAATACTTTGAACCACCAAGGGATTTTAGCTCCATGACTTAAAAAAAAAAAAAAAAAAATTGTCACAGAGTTAATTCCAACTCACGGCTGCCCCATATGTGTCAGAGAACTGTGCTCTCTAATACATTTCTTCCAAGGCAACTTTGGGAGGATTCAAATCAACAACCTTTTGGTTAGAAGGCATTTGCACCACCTAGGGACTCTGCTTCATGACTGTTGTTGTTGTTAGGTGCCGTCAAGTCGTTTCTGACTCATAGTGACCCCATGCACAGCAGAATGAAACACTGCCTGATCCCACGCCAGCTCCATTATCCCTGCTATACTTGAGTCCATCATCGCAGCCACTGTGTCAATCCATCTCATTGAAGGCCTCCCCCTCTTTCGTCGACCCTCCATCCTACCAAGCATGACATCCTTCTCCAGGGAATGGTCCCTTCTGACAACATGACCAAAGTAGGTGAGACGAAGTCTGGCCATTCTTGCTTCCAAGGAGCATTTCGGGTGCACTTCCTCCAGGACAGTTAGTTCTTTTGCTGTTGCTGTTGTTATGTGCCATTGAGTCAGACCCAACTCATAGCGACCCCTCCTTGGGTTTCCAAGGCAGTATCACTATGGAAGAAGATTGCGCCATCTTCCTTCCGAGGAATGGCTGGTGGGTTTGAACCGCCAGCCTTTTGGTTAGTAGTCAAGCGCCTTAGGCACTATGGTACCAGAGCTCCTTGGTACTTTTCAGCATTCTTCGCCAGCACCACAACTCAAAAGCATCAACTCTTCTTCGGTCTTCCTTATTCATTGTCCAGCTCTGACATGCATACGAGGCAATTGGAAATATCATGGCTTGTGTCAGGCGCACCCTAGTCCTCAAGGAGACATCCTTGCTCCTCAGCACTTGAAACAGTTCCTTCGCAGTTGACCTTCCCAGTGCTACACGTCGTCTCATGTCCTGACTGCTGCTTCCATTGGCATCGATTGTAGAACCAAGCAACGTGAATTCTTTGACAACCTCAATCTTCTCTTCATTTATTGTGATGCTGCTCATTGGTCCAGTTGTGAGGATTTTTGTTTTCTTTATATTGAGATGTAATCTATACTGCAGACTGTATTCTTCAAACATCATCAGTCAGTGCCTCAAGTCATCCTCACTTTCAGCAAACAAAGTTGTATCATCTGCCTATGTCAGGTTGTTAATGATTCTTCCTCCAATCCTGATGCCACGTTTTTCTTCATATAGTCCAGCTTCTCAGATGATTTGCTCAGCATATAGATTGAATAAGTATGGGGAAAGGATACAACCCTGAAGCACTCCCTTCTTGATTTTAAACCATGTAGTGTCCCCTTGCTCCATTCGAATGACAGCCTCCTGGTCATGGTACAGGTTCCTCATGAGTACAATCAAGTGTTCAGGAATTCTCATTCTTCTCAATGTTATCCATAATTTATCATGATCCACACAATCAAATGCCTTTGCATGGTCAATAAAACATAAGTAAACATCTTTCTGGTATTCTTTGCTTTGAGCCAAGATCCATCTGACAGCAGCTATGATATACTTTGTCCACGTCCTCTTCTGAATCCAGCTTGCACCTTTGGAAGTTCTCTGTCAATATACTACTACAAACGTTTTTTAATTATCTTCAGTAAGATCTTACTTGCATGTGATATTAATGATATTGTTCTATAATTTCCACATTCTGTGGGATCACCTTTCTTTGGAATGGGTACAAATATGGATCTCTTCCAGTCAGTTGGTCAGGTAGCTAGCTGTCTTCCAAATCTCTTGGCATAATCGAGTGAGTGCCTCCAATGGGGCATCCATTTGTTGAAATATTTCAATCAGTATTCCGTCAATTCCTGGAGCCTTGTTCTTCACCAATTCTTTCATTGCAGCTTTGACTTCCTCCTTCAGTACCATTGGTTCTAGATCATATGCCACTTCCTGAAATGGATGAAGATTGACCAGTTCTTTTTGGTACAGTGATTCTGTGTATTCCTGCCATCTTCTCTTGATGTTTCCTGCATCATTCAATATGTTGCCCATAGAATCTCTCAATATTGCAACTTGAGGCTTAAATTTTTTCTTCAGTTCTTTCAGCTTGAGAAAGCCGTGTGTGTTCTTCCCTTTTGGTTTTCAAACTCCAGGTCTTGGTAGAAATGACAATATAAAAGAGCTGAACAGAAGATTTCAAAGAGCAGCTCGAGCAGACAAAACCAATTACTATCATGAAATGTGCAAAGACCGCTTCATGACTAGACACAATCATTTCTCCTTTGTGAATCAGATCCTTTATCTATTCCCTCCACCAAGAACTCTTTCTTTAGAAATCTTTTTATGGCCAGCTTCATTTTATCATTTAAGCTTCAGTTTAAATATTATGTCCTCAAAGAGGTTTCAAGTCTTCCCTAATGGTAACCTCCTTTAACATCATTCTCTATTACACCATGTTGTTCTATTTTCTTCAGGCTTTGACTCTGCAATTATCTTAAATATTTCCTTGATTATTATCTATTTTCTCCAACAACCTTTAAGCTCTAAGAAAGCTGGGGCTGTGTCCATCTTGTTTCCAGCTGAATTTCCCATTCCTGGCATATAAGTGCTCAATAAATATTCGTAGAGTGAAAAGAACTGTAAAATTTAGGCAGTTGGACCAAATAGACTTTAAGGTTGCTTGCAGCTTTAACATGAACATTGACAAAGATAAATAAGTGAGAAATGAAGGGATGACACCATTACAATAAAACATTTAAAGGATTATACTTTAAGAACATAAACTTGCCAAGGTCTTGGGTGTGTCATACATATAGTGTTGTCTCTCTATAGCTATTTCCCACAGACAGTGAAGTGAGTTTCTGAGTTTTATAATGAAGTCTCAAACAAGAACATCAAGTAGCTACTTAAATGTAAAACCACCATACCATAGAATTAGAGTGAAAGAGATTTTAAAATATACCACTGCTTCAATTTGCAGCAGGGAAGGAAACTGAGGGCCAGAGAGCTAAGTATATTTGGAAGTTAGGAACCAAATCAGCAATATGTCTGTAAAAAGGAACACATATGCCACTCATACTTCCTTGCAATCATTATTCATAACATAGTAATTAATACTTAACATTTGAAAAGCATGATCCTACACCAGTGGTTCCAAAACTTGGATATGCATCAGAATCACCTGGAAGACTTGTTTAACAGAGACTACTGTGCTCCACCTCCAGAGTTTCTAATTCAGTAGGTCTGGGGCAGGGCCCTAAGAATTTGCATTTCTAACAAAGTCCCAGAGTTTGCTGATGTTGCTAATTCTGGGTCCACATTTTGAGAACTGCTGTGTTACACTAAGGGAGCTCTGATGGTGCAGTGGTTAAAGCATTGTGCTACTAACCAGGAGGCTGGTGGTTCAAAACCCCCATCCCTTCACAGGAGAAAGATGAGGCAGTCTGCTTCCATAAAGATTTACAGCCTTGGAAACCCTATGGGGCTGTTTTATTCTGTCCTATAGGGTCACTATGAGTTGGAATCAACTCAGTGGCAGTGGGTTTGGGGTCCTAACTAATCCATTTTCTCATCTCACCCATAGATTGCTATTCTTGCTTCAAAAATGAGGACATTTAGTCACCAAGATACATTAAGTAACTTGCCCCAAACCAAAGTCCAGTGGCTAAGTGGCAAAATTAGGACTGGAATCCAGATTTCTTCTCATCTCCTCAATTCCAGCTGTCCTCCAGGTAAGCAGCATGGCATATCCTACCCACTCACCTACTTAGGGAGTCATTGCCTTTCTTTGGAAGCCAGGAACCTCACCCACTCTCAGCTGACTAGAATTTTCCTCTGCCAAAATGCCCAAGGGAAGCTATATCTGAGAGGTTTTCTCTGTTTGCCCTCCCTCAGAGCTGCTGGCATTAGGCCTACTGCTCTGTCTCCTGTGCCCAGGTGGATTTGTTAAGAGGAGCTGTGATATGGAACCCGTTTTGCCAGCCATTTTGTCTAAACTGGCTCTACGTTCCACAGAGGACTGCTCTCTACATCTCTCACAATGGATTGTCCTAACTCTGATGTGAGAAGATTACTAACTTTCAAGGGATGCCTCCTAACATTGGGGAGATACAGTCATTGGATGGCGTATCGTGTTGTAACGTGAAAATCCACCTTTCTATTGGGAAAGCTGACACTGCTGCCTGCTTATAACACAAGGTATCTGTGGAAAGTCTAACCCTGACACTAGCTCATCACATATTGGTTGACACGCATAGGTTGGAAGCTGAGCCCCTGCTTCAGCCACCTGGGTTTGATCCCCACCTTTATCTTTTAAAAAACTGCACATCTTTGTGCAAACTTTTAAAATTTTCCTTAAATCTTTTCGAAGAGAGTAAGTAAACTAATCTGGGAAAAGCAGAGGTCTGTGTGTGGCACAAAGTAAACTGTGCAGATTAAATGAGATCATCTGTGTAAAGAGCTTATCAGAGTGCCTGGCACACGATATAATAAGTCTTCTGTTAGCGATTTCCGTTATAGTTGCAGGTGCCCCAGAATGTAAGCAGGAGTTGTTTGTTATTTTCTTTTTCCTCATGGCACTTACACTTCTTTTCTTCTTCTTTCGCTGCCGTCTTCCTGTCTAGAATCTAAGCTCCAGGAAGACAAGGCTTTTCTTCTGCTTTGTTGCCTGATGCAACAAAGCAGGCTTGAAAAGATGTCCAATAAATATTTGTTAATGCATATACAGAAGATAACTCGTTAGCAAATTGTGCTTTTTCCTTCGTCCCAAGGATTTCTCATGGCTCTGTGTTCCACAGAGGACTGCTCTCTACATCTCTCACAAGGGATTGCCCAAACTCTGATGTGACGAGTGAAGAAAGGAGATCCGTAGAAGAGAAAACCATCCAACTGCAACGGGCCCACTCAGTGGGCAGAAAAAACTACAAGTGCCGACGTGCTCCGCGCCCAGCGGACGGAAAGCCGGGCATTTCCGCTCCACGCAGTGCCTCTGCCACCGCGTCCCGACGTGTCACTGGCGGCGCCGCGGCTGTGGCCAAAGAAGGTTCAGTCTAGGGGAGTTTGAGGCGGCGGGCGGCGGCGGCGGCGACCCCAGCCTGGACCTGCCCCGGCCCGAAAGTGCTCAAGGGGCCGTGGGGAGCAAGAGAGGGAGTCGATAGTCCAGCCTGCGCGGGGCACAATGTTAAACATGTGGAAAGTGCGGGAGCTGGTGGACAAAGCGTGAGTATCGGGGCAGTTGGCCGAGGCCCACGCAGGGGAGGAGAAACAGGGTGAGGGGAGCCGGCCCAGAGTGCGGGGCCACTCGCGTCACGCCCCCCGGTTCGGGCAGCTCCATCATGGCGGAGGCCGGCTACCTCCCCGACCCCGGCCTCGTCTGGATCGGCGAGGACAGGATGGGACCCTTCCTCTTTTCAAAACATCCTCTTAGCCCCCTTCTCTCCTATCCTGACCTCTTTGCTCTTGCTCCCCATCAATCGCTGGCGGGGTTGTTTGGAGCTGGGTCACTGTCTTGGCCCAGGGACTTTCATGGCCTTAGGATGTGGGCTTTGCCTCCTGGGCAGCAGAGAGGAAGGCTTGGGGTTTGGGGAAGCTTCTCACTGGACCTCTGTTCCTCAGGGTGCAGTGTGGAGATTTTAGGCCTGGTTGGGTGGGGTATGCCCTTTACCTTACTGGGCTTTTTTTTTTTTTTCGTTCGTAATGAACCTGGAATTGCTACAGTGGGTGGTAGATGTAACAAGTGGCCTTTGTGGTCAGGTTGAAGTTACACAAGAGGAGACTCATCCTTTGCTTTTCTAACAGTAGTGAAAGTAGAACACCATGTAACTTCTTAGGATTCTTTTCCTCTGTTTGTTTTCCCATTATACTTCACTTTTGGTGGGCCACTTACTCCATTTGTTTTAATTAAGGAGTCATTAAGACACTTACCCAAAGAAGACAACCCAGGTTTATATCCTGTTGATTTTTTTTAAAACTTCAGTAACAGGTAAAATGACTAATAACATGGTTGATTTCCTTGAAGACATAAATGATAACATTAGGGTCTTAGTGCACTAGAGAAATCTTACCACTTAGATTGAGTAGATAAGATAAAACAGTTAAGATGTCTACCTCAGCAGGAAATAAAGTTTGTGAATGTAGCTAGTCCCCTTCCTTTTGGGCTTTAGTGATTGATTATGCAGTAAGGATGGTGAGAAAAACAGTTAATTTGTTCCACCTGCCCAACTTTAAAATCCGGAAGTTGTTGTTGTTGTTGTGTTGTTATGTGCCATCGAGTCAGCCCTGACTCATAGCGACCCCTCCTTGGGTTTCCGAGGCAGTATCACTACGGAAGTAGGATTGCCCAACCTTCCTTCCGAGGAGTGGCTGGTGGGTTTGAACCGCCAGCCTTCTGGTTAGCAGTCAAGTGCCTTAGCCACTATGCTACCAGAGCTCCCGGAAGTACAGATTGCAAATGAGCATTTCTTGACACCAGAAAACAAAATAATTCACGGTAGCTTAAACAGTGCATATGATAGAATTTGAAATTTGACTTTACTTTAAAAATTTCTGTGCTACCAAGAAGGCCATAGTTCCTATAGGTTTCAGAACCTGGAAAAGTAGGTCTGTGCTCGGTAACCTGGGGCAAATTATTTCACCTCACAGTGTCCCAGTTTCCTCAGGTACAGGATGAAAATGATGATAAATACCTACCTTAGAATGTTATTTTTTGGATTGAGGACTAAGGGCTTAGATTGCATATGTCTAGATCAATATATTTGTGAAAACCATAACAGGTATTCTGGCATTGAGAGTTAGATAAACTACCCTAAGAGAGAGAGAGACTATATTTGAAAAGTGATTTGCTTTACTAATTTTTCTTTCTTAACTATTCATTTGACCAGTAAGGCCTCAAATAATAATTTTGGGCTTATTTTGCTACTTATTTACCCTTCGCTTTTGCTTACCAAAGATAGAATAATGGCTTTTTCAAGATCCAGATTCACTGGTTGTTTTTGAAAGTCCAAAAGGAGTTTCTGCAGAACTGCTTCTTCTGTGCAAAGCCAAAGAACAGCAAGAAGAAGAAGAAAAAAAACCCACTAAGAAACATCTTGTTACATTAAAGGCCTAAATTTATAATATCTAGAAATTTGAAGGGTTTGTATATTTTTGGGGGGAAACAGAAATCAAGACAGTATTTCTTCTTTTGTTGTTCTTCCATATTTGTTTGTGTTTTTTACATTATTATTTTCAAGCACTTTAGTTTAAATTTGCCACACTAGTAGTTGTCAAGTCATTTAATGAAAGAGCTATTGTTGAAAAATAATTTCTATCTTCCTGTTTATTACCCAGTTTAAAATAGAGACTTGCACCAACTTATTCAAGAATGTATAAGAATGTTGCCACCCAAAACTCAAAATTATATTAAAAAAAAGACCAGGCTTGCTGGTCTGATAGAGTCTAGTGAAACCCCTGAGACTGTGGCCCCTACCTGCCCTTCACTCCTGTGGCTCCCAGCCAAATAAAAGACTGGCATATGGGCTGAACATTTACATTAAGTAGATACACTCCTTGAAGAGATCAATCATGGGAGAACAGAAGGGCAGTGTATGCCCTGGGAGACCGCTGAGGTGGGAGTTGCAGGGGGAGGAGTGCATGACAGGAAAGGACACTGGGAAGAGGTAACTATGAGGAAGTGGGAAGAAAGCTGTTACATTGTGGGAAATTGCAGTCAGTGTCATGTGATATAATTTGTGAACTACTGTATGGAAAATGAAATTGCTCTGTAAACTTTCACCCAAATCACAATAAAAATTAAAAAGAAAAAATGTTGCCATCTAGAACTTTTAAAATCTTTCATGGGTGATAGTAAGATTAGAACATGAGGTTGTATTACTGATGAATACTCAGGATTTAATTTTCATCTTTCACTGGCAGGAGGAGAAGAAATTATTCCTAAGAAAAATGTAAGCATTCGACAGAACCTTGTACTTGTGGCACAGCTACATTGTGTATTTGCAAATAGCATGATGAAAGTGAAGCAGAGCCATAGAATGGCAGCTCTGATTGTCAAAGGGATAAGAAGAGGAGGGAACTTGCACATGAGGAGACACTGAATTGATTAAGGCCTGTTCTGAGGGCGTGGATTAATATAATGAGGGTTTGTGATAGAAAGGACACTGGTTAGGTTGTTTGGAGACCTCAGTTCAAATTCTGCACTGCCTCAGGCAGCTATGTATGGTTTGAAGCAGAATCACATGAGTCTCCTGACTTTAGGTTCCTTACCTGTAAAGTAGAGGAACTGGGCTGGAGTAAGACTTATTCCCACCTCAGCGGTTATTTGGGGAAGTGAATTTCCAAAGGGGGGAAAAAATGGAACTAATATTTCAAACCCACAGATAAATTTTCAAAGTCATTACCTTCCAGAGACAATTTAAGCTAAAAAGAGAAATTTTTTAAAAATGTATTGATGAGGTAATCAATAAATGCTATATTTAAATTCTGTGTGCAATAAATAAGTGCAATCCATGACTCAGGAAAATTGGGACTATTAGCATATGTACTACCCAGTCACTTGTACTTCAGAAAGAAAAATACACTCTTTTTAAATGTGTTTCTTAGAGGAGCTACTATTAGATCCATTATGGTGACAGTTATTTTTTTAAAATATTGTGTTTTAGAAGGAGCTCTGGTAGCGTAGTGCCTAAGGCACTTGACTGCTAACCAGAAGGCTGGCCGTTCAAACCCACCACCCACTCCTTGGAAGGAAAGTTGGACAAGCTACTTCCATAGTGATACCACCTTGGAAACCCAAGGAGGCATCTCTATGAGTTGGGTCAAACTCGACGGCACATAACAACAACAGGTCAAAGTTTACATAGCAAATTAGATTCCCACTGAACAATTCATACATAAATTGTTCTGTGATGTTGATTACAGTTCTTAAGTATGATTTAAAACTTTGGTTTTGAGACCTTTAAAAGTTTTTTGGGGACAGGGGAGTAATTTTCCACAATTATTGTACCTCTTGGTGGTGTTAAATGGACCTGTTGTGCAGAACATTGTGGAACTAAGGGAAAACATATGAAACCATAGGCCAGCTGAAGCTTGGAGTGTCGGTTTCCTTCCATTCGTAAGCCAGTGTCGAAAGAGGCAACTGGTGGAAAAGGATAAGTGGCATCACACTCACCAGTTAGGACTAGCTTGACCACTGTCATCCTGTGACCTCCTTTCCTCTATTTGAGGCTGTAATAACATGTAGTACTTTTGTGTTTTGTCATTCTGTAAATTGTGTAAACTAAAGTTGCTTGAGTTCTGTTGAATTTTCTCTCCTCCACATTTGTGAATGTAGTGCTGATGACACAGCCGACCAAAACTACTTATTATTCAGTTATCCTTTCTCTTTCATTGCAGGGAGTGATATTAATGGTAAAACAGTTTCATCAGTGGCCCTTATTCTTTGTATAATGGTGATTCATACAGCTTTGGCCAAGGTCTTATGGCCACTGCTATAGATAGTACATGCTAAGTTGTTCTTTTAAGCATAGCTTGTTCCTCCCTCCCCCAAGTTAAATTTGCTTGTTTTTGTTCCTAAATGATTAATGTAATAAAGCTATAGAAACTTCTTTTCTAGTTCAGCTGACCCCGGAGAAGAACCTTTTGCTTTTAAATAGCTCGGTTATTTAAACAGATTCAGTATATTGATTATTAATTGGCTTAATGCTATATTTTCTGAATTTGAAAATGACAATACCTGACTTTAAGAAACTTGCCACTACTATATGTGTAATCAAGCCACACTTGAATTTATCAATGGTTTTGGTTTTTCTTCAGTCCTCTGATGTTTTTCTCCGCTTACTTTCCCTATCTTACCAGTAAATCTTTGTTCAACTTGCTTCTTAGAACTTGAAAACAAAGATGATTAAGTCAGCTTTCTAGTCTTCTATATCAACTTTTCTTTTAACCAGTTGTAGGTAATTGTTAGGAGCTCTGGTAGCGTAGTACCTAAGGCACTTGACTGTTAACCAGAAGGCTGGTGGTTCAAACCCACCAGCCTTGGTATCACTACCGTAGTGATACCACCTCGGAAACCCAAAGAGGGGTCACTATGAGTTGCGTCTGACTCAGTGACATATAACAACAACAGGTAATTGTTATTGCTGAAACAATGAATTTTCCTTTATTCAAGAAACTGGACACAAGTAGATATTAAGAATTTAATTCCAAGGAAAGATGAATTTATC